ACATTTCCTCACCTTCTCCCAAAAATCTCCTCACTGTCCCTCCACAGCCCAATGGATAGCAACTCTATGTTCCCAGTCACCTGACTCCTTTCTCTGATTCTACGTGCTAACCCCATCTGCAAAGGATTTCTTTGCTCTATGATGTTCTGTGGTGCCCACTCCCTCCAAAGGATTATTACCACCTGGCCTAGAGATAACCCTTAGGTATACATCTGCTAATTAATTCCTAAGACTAAATTATTAAACATTTAAGGCTCATGATACCTGCTAGGCTATTTAATCTCTTCTCTGTTTGCCTCCCAAGAAGGAAGGTGTCTGGCGCCAGGCCCATTCTCTTCCTGGGCCTTAAGGCTTCCCAAGTCATCCCAGGTCCCAGCACACAATCTGCTCCTCCTGGTTTCTCTTACGGGAAAAGCCCCCTTTATCTTTGGAGGCCTGCATCATGATAGTGGGATTAAAACTGGCACTCAGCAGCAAATATGGTATCAAAAGCCTTAAAAGTTTATGAATTTATCCTTAGGAAATAATTACAGATGTTTGTAAGATTTTTCTGCATGCAAGTTCTTCTTAGCAAGGATTATAGGGTTAAGATGGAATTAGAAGTAGCTTGTGATTTATGATAGATTGGTTAAATAGATTAGAGCATTATCTATCTGATGTAATAATACAAGGTCAGTACATTAATAGGGAAGTACAGCTTAATAAATTAGGATGTTATAAACTACATTTCCAAAGACAAAAGACATTCGAATTACTGGTCTAGACACTGATATTATTAATATACCTAATTATACAATACTGGCTAAAAAAAAAAAAGCCAGTATATGTTGTGATAAAAAAAAAACAACAAACAACTGTAGCAGAAACATCCTTACTATCCACACAGTGGAAGAAATAGCCCTAATAGCTACTCACACAATGGAATATTGTTCATCCATAAACAGAAATGAAGTGCTAATATATGTTAACAACATGGGGGAACCTTGAACTGCAAGGTGAAGCAGCCAGATAAGATTGGGCCTGTACTGTGTCATTCTGTGATATGGAATGCTCACAACAGGCAAACCCACAGGGCTGAGGCAGTGCAGGGCTGGGGCAGCACAGGTGGGGAGAGCATGAGTTTCTCACTGGCGGACCGTGGAAATGTTTTGGAATTGGATAGTATTGATGGTTGTACTACTGTGTGAAGATACAAAAACAATTAAGTTGTATACTTTAAAACAATGTCAATTAAAAGATAAATCAATGCAGATTAGTGCTGACTAACCTGGAAAACTGTGTATTGCTGGCAAAAAAAAAAAAAAAAAAAAAAAAATTCAAACTGTAAATCAATCTATTTTCAGGATTGTGTGTGTGCACGCATGTGCGTGTGAAAGCAAAATACAAAGATGTAAGTGGAATATTTATACATTAAAAAACAAAAACAAGACACCAAGAAACAACCCAACCTGAAGACTGGCAAGCCGACACCCAGCTGGCAATGCTGGCTCTGGGTGACGATACGTAAGCACTGCCCTAACATCTCTCCAGGGAGCATGGATTTCCTTACATCAGATGTTTAGAAACAAGCTGCTTCAAGACCTCAGAGAGGCTGGGCCTGGCCGCTGCCTATGCTCCCTTCCTTGGGCTGGGTACAGTCCCCTGTACCCATGGTGCCACTGCAATCCCCACTCTGTAGCTGTCCTTACAGGCAGATCCATGTCTGATCTGCCTATACTTGCAGCCCTCATCGATGGTGCTGGCAAATCCTGCCAGAGTCAGTTTTGCAAACAGGTAGATTTTACTACATGCACAATGGAGCTGCCACAAGTTCTCTACTGGAAATCCTCTGTACAGACTTCCTTCTCACTTACCTCTTCCTGATTTAGAACCTGATGAGAAGAAACAGACCACTGAAGGCCCAGCTGAGGGTCTTGCAACGGGAACACGTACCTACACTCTGACTGAACTTCCTCATGCTGCAAAGGTGGCATTCATGCGGCAATTCCCCGTTTTGCTTTCAGTACAGAGTTTATAAAACTACACAGAACTCCCCCAGCAGGCTTTGTGATGAATAGCTTTGGTCAACTGTAGGCTGATGTGTTCTAAACAAGTTCAAATGCATTTTTGACTCACAATATTTTCAGCCAGTGGGTTTGTGATCGCAACCTCATTTAAGTCATGGAGCGCCCATGTTAAAACAATACTACAGTACTTATTGTAGAAGGAATTTGTCATAAAAGAAAAAAAAATCTATCTTGAAACTTACAGCTACCCTACAAACAGGTGACAAAGGTCACTCGAGCCACCGAGTAAGGAAACTAAGGTTTGGAAAGGCTAAGCAGCAAGGTCAAGTGTGGAAGCTAGGGAGACTGAGATCAAAGAAAGGCTGAGCAGCTGCTTAAGAGCAGAAGATGCCAGAAACCAGTGCTGTGACACCCAAAACAGCTAAGGGATGCCAGGGGCACCTGCTTAAGAGCAAAAGATGCCAGAAACCAGTGCTGTGACACCCAAAACAGCTAAGGGATGTCAGGGGCAGTGGGATCGGGCCAGGCATGTTGAATGCTGCAAGGACTCAGAATCAGGGAAAGCTCTTTGCACGGCATGTCCATAAAGGGGAGGCCAATGGGGAGCTGCAGGTGGGCAGGGCTTGGGGCAGAGGGTACGAAGGAGGGGTTGGCCTGACCTGAGGCTCTGATTTAGGAGAAAGAATTGGCTGTGGAGGGCTGGATCCTGCGTGTTTGAATACATGCGCACAGGCCGTGGGGAGTACGCTAGTGTGTGCATGTGTGGAGCATGCTGCATCTCCACAAGCTGAGCAGGCAAGGGGACTCAGAGAGGAAGACCAGGCAAGAGGAGTTTTGGCAGCCACGTGGTCCTGGGCAAGGCAGAGTAGTAGGAACAGATTATCAATATGAAAAAATGGGACAAGTGTGCCCATTTCCTGGCTGGATCATCTGTCTAGTGGCTTGCTGGAACTCTGTCTTGGGCATCCTGGAAAAGACTGTGATTAGTTATAAGCTGAGAAAGGTTGAGAATAAATGTAAAGCTGTCAAGTGAGATCCTCCCGTTTCTAGAAACTACTATAAAGCATGCTGTTCATCTTTTACAATGCTGCTTATGAAGTAGTAAAATCCAGGCCAAGCTGCTAAGACATACCCTGGTTTAGGGTAATGTTTTCCTGAGCAGAAAGCTACTTGAAGGCGGCTTTGAAGAACTAGTTAAAAGGATAAAGATGCTGCATTGGCTGGGAATCAAACCCAGGCCTCCCACATGGCAGGCAAAAAAATCTACCACTGAACCACCAATGCTCCAGTTCAAGGAGTGGACCAGCAACTCCCCAGAGAGCTCACTGCTGCTACAAGAGCAGAAGGGGAGGGACAAGGCTACCAAGCTACCAACTAAGCTCCTCATACACATGAATTGAAATACAATCCACACCAAAAACTCCGCTTAACAAAACTCTGCCATTGTAGTAAAGTGTCTGATCAGGCGATTCTAAGTATAATCACAAAGGTGTACAACTATTGCACTCTCTAATTCTAGAGCCTTTCCACCATCTCCCAGAGAAACCAGGATCTGTCCCGGGCAGTCCCAGGGCCATTTCCCCTCAGCCCAGGCGACCACCATTCTACTTGCTGATGGGGAGTCGGAGACATGAAAGTTAGTGTCTCCGACTCCCCAACTTTCATGTTGCACTAAAGCCCAAAGAAAGCCAAGCAAAAAAACAAGCAAGAGAAAGTTATTCATGGGAAAAAGCAAGATGTGGGAGTGACAAATGATTTTAGTTGTGTGTGTGTGTGTGTGTGTGTGTGCGCGCCCCAAATCTGCCGCTGCTCATCATCTGTGCAGGTGACCTTGCTGCTTTGCAACTTTCCCTTTCTGCGCAAAATTTCTAAAATGAGAACCATAAAACAAAAAGAAAGCAAGATAAACCGTAAAACAAAAAGAAAAGCAAAATAAAAAGCTCACACACCAACACAAGTTCACAACTATCGAGACGTCTAGCTTCTAGAAAGACAGCTTTTCCTGTGCAAGGCCTCACTAACGTACCTAAGTTTTCTCTTTCCAGGAGCTGTCAAAAAGCGCTCAAGCTGCTGCACTGACCAGTAAGCAAACTGTCCGGGTCTCCCTCACGGCAAGTGAGGATTCTACCGCAGAACCAACAATGCTCCAGCTGGGTGCTGTTCTGTCTCCAGGTGTTTCATTGCTCTGGCTCTGGCGCAGCTGTAACCTGATACCCAACAGAGACCCAGTGGGGTGGGCCCTCTTCTATTCGACCAGCCAAACCCACAGAAGGCTGTCCTGGGACCTGGCCTAAGGTTGTCTGCTACTCTAGCAAGCACATGCTATGACTATGGTGGTTCTTTTGGCTCCAAATGTAGGTTCCAGATCTTGCTCTGTCACCCGTAGACATCTGCACAGGGTGTACCTCCATTTACTTTGACCAACTGAAAAGGAGGACATCCCTCCAGAGATGGTCTGAGACACTGAAGACAGAGGAGATAAGAGCAGCAGTGCTTTAAAGGCAAACTCCATCTCCAACAGCATAGAAATTGGTTTTCTTTATTTTACAAACAAGGAAACAATGTCAAAGAGCATTTGAAAGACTGTTAAAAGGCAATGACTTGCCAGTAGAAATCTCCAGTACTCAGTAAACTACCATTTTCCTGACCCATCCTCCCCGAGAATGGCTAGGGCAGAGGGCCAAATGCTGAGAATCAAATGAACTGTGCAGCTTGGTGTTCTTGCCATGTTCCCATCAATGACTTGATGGTGGCTGGACCCAGGAGGAGATCAAGGGCAACGTTTGATGGTCTTTGAGGTGGCAAGGGTGAAGAGCGTGGGCTCTGGGGGCAGCTGCCAGACACTACTCAGCTGTCAGAGGCTGCAGGAGGGGCAACTACAGTGCCTGGGTCGCTCCTGGAACTAATCGAGTCAGCGTGTGGAAACCACACTACAAGTTTAGTTCTGCTGTCTCCCCACAGCAGAAACGAGGACTCTGTCGTCAGGGTACTCACCGCTGGCTGTCCCCTCCTGCTTTGGTAGGGAGTCCTCAGGGTTGAGTTCTGTCTGCCTCTGTGCTACTGGCTTTGGCTCATCTGGTTCGTCATCTTCAGGGGTGACCAGCTTCATTAGGCTCTGGTTACACACATTGGCCACCTCCTTGATGCCTGTCTACTGATGTAAGGATCACCCCATGTGAAGGCCTAGAGCCTGAGGCTGCCAGTCTCTCTGGTCATGGGTTTAGTCCTCCCTAAGGCCCATTCTTGCCCCAGGCACCCTTGTGAAAATTCCTCTTTCTTCCCACAGGTGGTCCTTCCTCCACTGGGACATTTCCCATCTAAGATAGAGAGGGGCAGACCCTTGGTACATGAGATTGCTGCTCTATATCTGGCAGCAAGCAGGTGAGGACTGAGGACAGCCAGAATGTCCCTGCCTTTCCTAATCCACATTCAGCTCCATCTCCTGCTTCCCAGGAGTGAAGAAGCCTAAAGGAAGCTGCCCACTCAGGTCCCTCCACTTCAGTTTCCACTCCGCAGTGAAGGATACTTTTCTTGCGGTCATCATAGGCCAAGCAGGGCAGGACAGCAGTCAGGATCCCAGAGGAGTAGGGCAGCATTACTCGGCCCGCCAGCTGGATGAACTCCCGCATCCAGCACATGGCTGTCAGCTGAATCAGGTCATCTGGAAGGGGAATTGGTGGCTTCCAGAGAGGCTGGAACATGCATTGGAGAGCTCCCTCCCACTTACCATGCACAAAGGCTGATGAATCAGGGGCTTGACTGCTTCTAGCTATGTGAATAAATACTTCCCAGGCTCTCTGCCTTCTAAAGGTTTGTAAGGACAGGTTAAGAGAGAGCAACAATCTTGCACAGCCATGTGAAAACAGCCATGAATCCCTGTTCTGCTGTAATTTGACTTGTGTTTCATTTCTAAATGGAATTCACTTTCCTATCCTTGGAACCAGAAAACTGGCTACTCTGGCCAACAGCATGTAGTTGTGGTGATGGTATCTCTGGTTTAAGTGTAGGAATTAAGAGACCTTTCTGTGTCCTGTCTCTCCTGGAACCCTGCTGATGCCATCCAGTCTACTGGATGCTGAGCCCCATCACCCCACATCAGATGTGGGGTGAGATCATACCCAGACCACCTAGCTCCAACTGACCCTAAAACTGGCTTGAGGTGTATGATTAGGTCCAAGCTGGACTTGGGGGCAAAACCAGCCAGCTGACCTGTAGGTTCATGGCTAGTAACAAGCAGCTATTGCTGAGACTGTTTCATGTGGTTTGATAACCAACAGATGCTAAGAGAAAGGGGATTCTGACCTCCAAGCATCCTACCTTTACCTAAGGCAAAGCACTGTCTATGAGATCTTCAGGCCAGGTGAAAGGGTATTTGTATCAAAAGAGAACCCAGATCTCATCATAGCTACACCCACCATCCTACTGCTTCCAGAGGCATGTATCTCGCTCATCTGGGTCCCTTTTGCCCCATATTGAAGCCTGGATATTGGAGACAGGGGCTTCTGAGGAGGTAGCTGTGGCTATAGGGCCTCTACATACTCACCTGTGGTCTGGCAGTGGATCACCAAGATGTTGGCCATCTCAGCAAATTTCACACTGGATGGGTTCTTCTTAATTTCTTTCAGGAACTCTCCGAGAACCACCTCACACCTACCAATGAGGAAAGGAGGCATGAGCTAGCATGTCAGCCCATTTCTGCTCCAGGTCACATCCCTACATTTGTTAGGAGGACACTGAGCTGGGAAGATGAGCTTTCCACTCCTCCGTAGGGAAGGATATGGGAAGAAGGAAAGGGTGTGTCCTGGTTACCAGGGCATGGAATTATATGTGACCAGGGGGACCACAGGGATTCCAGGGAGTGGCAGCTGCCTGCTCTTTCCCCCAACTCACATTTTGCGAATCTCTTTGCCATTGTCCCCCAGGATCTGGAAAAGCCCGTCCAGGATCTCTGGCAGGTAATCCAGCAGGTTAATGTCCGGCACCGACACCAGAACGAGGATCTGATGGAGGGGAGTAGCGAGAGGGTGAGCTGGGTGAGCTGGCCCAGGAGCAGAGCCTGATTTACTCTGTTCCCCTGGGACCAGCAGAGGAAGGACTGGGGGCCTGTGTCAGGATGGAGTGCTGGCAGCCATTTTCATGCTCAATACGCAAGGAAGTTGAAGTTTGACTCCAAGATGATTTGATGCTGGGGAGAGGGGGGTTGAAGGGGAAGGCTGGATGAAGCTAGGAGACTCTCAGGGGTGGAGCTGCTGGATGTGGCACCATGGGCTTCAGAGATCCTGGGTATTTTCTAGGACAAGGAAGGAATCGCATCCCTTCAGGGGCAAACAGGACAGGCAGTGAAGACAACACAGGACAAAGTGCTGTGGTTGGTTTGTTTTTTGAAGACAGGGTCTCACTGTATGGTCCCAGCTAGCCTGGAATTTGCTGTACTGACCAGGCCGGCCTTGAACTCACAGAGGTCTGCCTGTTTCTGCCTCTCAAGTTTCATGCCATCCTCAAAAGGCATGCGCCACCATGCCCAGCCCAGTGTTTTTGGTGAAGAGGTATCTGAAGGTTATCAGGGGATATAGACAAAGAGTATCTTTGGCAAAAGGAACCATCGTGTGTGTCACAGACTCCACCAGAGACTCTTGGTGGCTGGAAGAATCTACCAAGCACTGGACCATACCCAGGAGATGATGAACTGCCGGGCATATTGGTTGTTGGAGTAAATCCTCTCCCGCAGAAGGGGGATGAAGCCCACCAGGTCAAACTTGCTGCTTTCTGTCACAATGTCCTGTGGATCGAAGGGGTGAGGGTTATAAAGAGCCAACGCTTGGCTTGCTCTGCTGCTGGCCCTGGGCTGAGGGTCAGATAACCATGGAGGGAAATGGCAGGGCATGAGCTGGGTAGGAGAGGTCCCTGGAGAACTGGCATTGTCATAGGCCCAAAGCCAAACAAAGATGGATAGTGAACAAAGAAAAGTCAAGAGAACAAAATGGATGGCAAAACCCTACTCTGAAGTCTGGGTCAAAGCCCAGCACCCTGTCATGGGAGGCTGGGGTGCAAGCTTAACTTCATTTTTCTGGGTGGGACACTAAAACAGAAGATCCTGGCTGCAGAGATGGCTCTGCAGTTAAGAGTACTGGCTGCTAGTCTTGAAGACCTGGGTTTTGCTCTCAGTTCCCACATGGAGACTCACAACCAGCTATAACTCTAGTTCCAGAGGACATGACACCTCTTATTACCTCTGCAGTGATCAGGCACACAGGTGGTTCATACACATGCATGTAGGCAAAACAACTATACACATAAAATATAAGACTGACCCACTTCCTGTCCCCCAAACAGAAGATTTTCATTGAAGGGGATGGCACAGTTCTGTATTTTGACTATGGCAGTAACACAGCTTTATATACTTGTCATAGAAACTGCATACCAATCAGCAAGCTTTAATATATATGCATGTACTATATATATAAAAAAAACTTAAATGAGGAAAAACATCTTCAACGCCAGAATTTCTACTCTACACAGACAGAAGGAATAAACTCTAAAAATAAAAGATGGACAAAGCAGAAATACCTTTAAAAGGCGGTCTAGGAGCTCAGATCCACTTTTCACATTGGGGTCTGGGTCAGCAGCCAACTACGAGGCACCGAAATAGAGAAACAGAGGCAATGTTCAGTCATAGCACAATGTGAGCCAAGAGACCTAATGCGAAGCAACAGCCAGGGCCATGGTGCAGAGCAAAACACCACGTGGTGTCCTTCCTAGTGTTTGAAGCTGAGAAAGGTGGCCGGTTACAGCAGAATTCCCCTTTTTTCAGGAACAGCCCAAGCTCTGCTGGGGTTCCCGGGCCATGAAGTAACTGGGTCAGACACTTGTTTCCACTGGCTGCTTCTAGGGCATTCTCATCTTAAAAAGCTTCGTTTGCCCATGGGCCACTGAGGCAGCAGTGAGGGTGCATTTAGAAGCATCCACGTTGTTCATTCTGCAGGGTTAATATTTTCTGGGACACTCTGCACCACGGGGTAGGACAACAGCCCCACCAGCCCCTGAGGAAGGGCATCCCCACCAGGCTGAGAGGCAAGAAGGAGAGCAATAAGGACCCTAAAGCTCTACAGGGGATCATTCTTTAGCACACCTGAAAGCCTGTCATCACTGCCTTTAAAAGGGACAGCCTGGACTGTGGAGTCACCATCATTACCTTTCCTGGGAGTTAGGGCTTCTCAAACTACTGCTTTTCTGATTATGTGAATGGCAGGTTGATACTTTGACAAAGTGCAACGAAGATGGTCAGGGACATCAAAAAATATAGATACAAGTCTCTGAGAAACTAGATTCACACAGTATGCGTCCCTTATAGCAACATGCTACATGTTCTGCTTGCATGTGGGCAGTGTCCCAAGCTCTCAAGGTCCTACATAAAGTCAAGTTAGGCGGGACGGCTGTTCTTGGCTTAATCAGAAGTTACCTTACTCAGTCCGTCAAAGAGAACGTTGAAGTGGGGCAGCACGGCACCTCGGGCCACTTTGACGATGTTGTAGAGAGCCTCGCAAGCGTAGTAGCGCAGCCTGCTGTCTGCATCATTAAAGCAGGTCAGCACAGGCTCGATCAGCTCCTTCAGGTAGAGCCCCGAGTCCTGGAATGAGCAGCAGGAGGACTAGTCAGAAGGGCTAGGCCTGGCTTTACCTGCTTGGGAGATGCTCAGGCCTCTGTGTAAGGGCTGAGCTAAAAGCCTTCATCCCAGGCCCGCCTCCCGGAAGTGGGACCACACTATGAGGATATGGCTGTAAGACCACACTTGCTAGTAGTCTTAAATGCGGAAGGAAGAGTCTTGACAAAATACAGGTTTGCAAAGGCCCTGCCGGGCCTCAGTTGGAATGAAGTCCATTTCTGTTTTGTCTGTCCTTCAAGAGAAGACACACCTTGCCCAGGGCAATAGAGCAGGCTGCCAGGCCAATGAGGCCCCCTTTCCGGCTGTGGGGATGCTGGGACAGGGCAAATTCCTGAGACAGGGTCTGGATCACGTGCTTGATTTGCATGGTGTTGTTCTGGGCCACAAAGTCCCGCACCAGCCTGGGGAGAGAGAAGAGAGGAGGTATGGGACAGGTCAAACCAGGTTACCTCTGCTGCCTGGGCTCCAGGGCAGGAACCGGGGTGAAGAGCAGAGATGACCTTTCCAAAAGACCGGGGGCGGGGGAGTGAGTCTCTGAGGGGGTGCTCTCAGTTCTGCTGCTGGCTGGGTTCTAATTCCTGCCCAGGTTTCAGTGTCCCTTTATATATAATGCAGTCAGGAATAGTGGGGCTAGTTCAGAATCTGAGAGAATGTAAATTAATGTCCATTCGTCCATCCATCCATCCATCCATCCATCCATCCATCCATCCATCCATCCAATCATTTCTTTTAAGCTATCACTCCCCTTCATCAAACACTTGCTCAGGTCTGTACTCACGTATCCAAGGGCTCCTCTGCATCTGTGCCAGGGACACATGGCTTCATCTGGCCTCAGCCCAGTGGAAAATTGGCCTCAGCCCAAACAAACGGAAAATTGTAGAAAAATGGGGTGGTGCTGTATATGTTCAGGAGGCTGACAGGGTGGTCCCATTTGAGACATTATTTAAAAAATATTAACCGGCATTTCCTAGGTAAAGGAAGCTGGGTATATTAGTCCATTTTGCCTACTAAAATGAAATTTCAGAGGCAGAATGCTTATAAAGAAAGGTTTATTTAACTCCCAGTTTAGGACATTCATCTGCATCGGCTTATGGTAAAGACACGATCATGTACGGAAGGAAAGGACATCATCATGTAGGCTGAGGTCACAGATGACTCAAGGGTTTTTAGGTGGGAGTTGTAAGATCATAGGTCCTGCAGCAGCGTGTATGCACTAAACCTGTGCGGTCTCCCAAACAGGACAAACCAGCTAGGCGAGGCCAGGTGTTTCATCAGTGGGTCTGAGTTTTGAAGACAGCTCCGAGAAGAGCCCTACAGACAGGCCCTAAAACAGCTGGAGCATTGGTGGTTCAGTGGTAGAATTCTCGCCTGCCACGCGGGAGGCCCGGGTTCGATTCCCGGCCAATGCAAGCTTGCTTTTTGGTTTTGTTTTTTGTCAAAGCATGTGTGTCTCTTTCTGGTCAGTTTCCTCACAGAAATCCTGTCAGAGGAGCCAGGCCCCTCAATCACAGAAGGCCTGAAGCAGCTCAAGGACTACAGAGATTTCTGCTCTGAGTCCATAGGGAGCTGCCGGGCTCTCTGACAAGTATGACTGGCTGCAGGAGTCTGACTTTCTCGCCTCCACAGTGCTGCCCCTGGTCCGGGCCAGCCGCCAGCAGGAAGCAGTGTGAAAGCTGAGAGCAGCACAACAGTTCATTCAACAGGACCCACGCAGCGGACAGGAGGCTCGCCCACAGCCTCCCTGTGTTTTGCCGATTACTGAGGAGGAGGGAGCGGAGCTCTCTTTCCTGTCTCAAGGCCCCAAGGCAAATCTACTTCACAAGCACACAAACCACAGACCCACACCCACCCTTCGCTCCCTCCTGCTCTGAGGCTAGGTGATCTTCTTGCGGCTGTGCTGATGTGGCAGCACCATAAACTGGGCTCAGTCTGTGACTGAACGTATGCACAAGGAGGCCCAGAAATGGGGTTACAGGGAGGTCTAATACAGCTGCTGACAGCTGGAGCATTGGTGGTTCAGTGGTAGAATTCTCGCCTGCCACGCGGGAGGCCCGGGTTCGATTCCCGGCCAATGCAGTAGTAATTCTTTTAATTCTAAGAGATGAAGGTGAATATTTCACACTGCCTAATAATTCTGAGTAAAGTCATAAAACTGCAAATGATTTGTTTTTGGCTTGATTTTTTAATGTTCTTCATGGAAAAGCATTTCTAAATTCCACGAAGATCAAGAACCTTCGCATGTGTCCTCGAAGAATCAAGAGCATAGGGCTATACCATAGCCACTATGAGTGAGTAACTCTGCTTCCCACTCCTGCCTAGATGCTGAGTTCTGCTTTTGCCTGGCACAAGGGACAGCAGCACCTAGAATATGATGACACCCTCCAGGCTAAGCCAGGACCCAAGAAGAGAGCTAGCCTCCCTACCGTAGTCACCCCTGACACTAGCTCCTTTCCTCCCCCTTTTGCAGATTCCGGGATATTCATGGCAGCTGGGGCACACCCCTCCTAGATGTCAGCCCTGCACAGGTGCAATCCCCGGCTTTGAAGGATGCTATGCTGGGGTGGGTGGAGGAAACTGGAGAGTCTTTCCAGGATGATAGTACAAACCCATTAAGAGTGGATACTAAGGTGAAGAAGGCAAGAAAGCTGGTGTCTATTAGGAGAGGTGTATAGTGGCCTTATGCTAGGCACGGGACAGGGTTCTGAAGCATGAGTTTGTTCTGTCTGAGTCAAGATGGGAAAGCATTTGGCTTGGCAGAAGAAAGGCCAAGGTGAAGGACAAACAAGAGGCTTGGAAAGGTGCAAGCAGTGCAAGACCCTGAACACTCGCCAAAGCAACCCCATCTCCCTCTGGTGGCCTGAGGAGCTATGGAAAGTGGCCAGCAGGGTATGGGTGGGAACCTATAGAGTAATCTGGAGCTGTGGGTGCTAGAAATCAGAAAGGCAGAGAGAAAGCTCTGAAGACAGCGCAGGCTCCCAGAAGGACCTACTGGTAAGGGGGAGAAGAATGTGGCCTTGGTGCCAGAGCCACCACTTTCAGTAACAGCAGGGTGTTTTAAAGGACAGTGGGGACAGTGGTACCTTTCTCCTTTGTTGGACACCAGCTGGGGGACTTACCAGAGCTCATTTTGGTCACCCCAGCCTACTAAAAAGACCATTAAAGTACCATGGCCACAGGGCCCATTACTTTAAGAGTAATTTTCTTTATCTTCAGGCAAACAAATGACAGCAATGGTACCTTCTGGAGGGAAAACCTTCTCATCAATATTACCAGCTCAGACAGCATAGGGCTGTCCTGGGGCCAGTCTTGTTCCAGGGATCAAGGCTACCCTTAGCAATCAAAACAGGCCATGTGACCTCTCTAGCCTGCTCACTCCCCAGCATCACCTCCCACTTCCAGCCCTAGCTTCCTAGGGGGCCTGCTCCTCTCACATTCAGCTCTGCATTCCTCACATGCCCTGCCTCTGCAAACCCTCTTCCACCTCCTAGGTCTGAAAAAAACAGCTGAGGTGTTATTCTCCTACTCCTCTGCACCCAGAAACATTTAGTATCCAGAAATATACTGATCAATAAAGCTTGCACCTCCATAAAGCTTGATCAGGACCCTAACACTATCCCACTCGTCTCACAATTCTAGGAGCAGCTGTCTCCAGCCCAACGTTATGCATTTAGCAGCTGGCTGATGAGTTACACCTGCCAGTGGAGTCAGTCTGCAAAGGCTGGCAGAGCTGATGGGGGCACAGCTGTAGGGCAAACATGGGCAAAGCTTTGTGCTGCCATGTTGTTGGCATGGGAAAACCTGACCTGTGGGGTTAGCTAGTGCAGCATCCAACGGTGCTGAGGCCCTTCCAATCTTCTCACAACTTAGCATGAGCAAAGGGCACTGTTCCTGCGATCTCAAAACACATGATGAGAAGAGTCCAGTTCACTACAGCCATGGCTGGTGTCTGTAGAAAGACACAGACACACATACAAATGCCCATGTGCTCACGCACACACACTAGAATGTGATTTGAAGTGATCCTGCTGAGGGGCAGCTGCACTCTAAAACTGCGTCCTCAGCCAGCAGGTGCCTTGGTCCACTGACTTCACAGGGAGAGTGCAGAGAAGAAAAGCAACCACAAGGGGAACAGAGTAAGTGAAGTTCAACAGCGGGCACCCCAGCTCCTGGCCTAGTCTTCTTCAAAGACTCTAGGATGCCTCGGCTTTCATCTACAGCTCGGGAAACAGAGGTGGGGGGTCTTTAGCTGAACTCGTTTTTGAAGTTAATATCTGGCCTCGCAACTCTCTCGATCACGAATCCCTGGGGTCCTTCAATAACACAAAGACCTCAGAAGAGACGCTGCTACCGCCTTGTTTTCCCACAGAAAAAAGGTTGAACGAGACGGTTAGTGGCGCTGTGTCCTCTAGCGGTTTCTCAAAGCTTCTGCTTGCAATTGGTTGGAAGTATGAGAGGCTGGCAGAGACTCCCAAAAGACACAAGCCCTAGCCGAAAGACACAGGGTTTAACAACTAACTACCCACAGTATCAAAGAGACTGCTCCCTTGGTAGAGGGAACTAAAGCTCCGTAGGATACTTCTGGATTGTTATCAGTCACACTCTGTGCTACACAGCCACAGCATGTGTTGCTAGCCCTGGCCTCTGCAACACAGTATGGCAACAGTCACAGGCTACACAAGGACGGGTAAGTTGGCTAGTATTCTTGCTGGGCGGCAGCCTTCAGAGGTCAGTTACTTGTAGCTACCATCATGCTCACCTTCTAGATCTGAACAACCCTAGGTAAATTAAGTCCATTTCTCAGGATCACAGAAGGTTTGAACCCTTGACACCAACAAATGTCCTTTATACTGTATCAGTCTCTTCCTCCCCTCTTCTGAGGCCATTGTAGCTGGAAAGTGAACACACTGAGTGATAATTCTCCTGTGTAGACTCAGGCCCTCAGGTGACATATGTGCCTTTTCTGTACACCATCCTCCTGCTGCTCAGTGCTCAGACGTCCCTCCATCTACACAGGGAGTGCAGAGGAAGAACACCCTCAAGTCATTCTGAAATGAAACTGGAGAGCTGGCTGCCTTCGACTGTGAAGATAAGAAACATGTGAACGCTGCCAAGCACTTGCTGTCCGCCAGGCAAAACACTGGCTATTTACACTAGTGTGCCGGCCAGTTCTGTGGCAGCTTGAAACGGGTTAGGGTCATCGGAGAGGAGGGAGCCTCAACTGAGACACTGCCTCCAGACGACCAGGTGGTAAGCAGAGAAACTGAAGGACATTTCCTTAGTTAGTGATTGATGGGGGAGGGACTGTCCCACTGTAGGTGGGGATAACCCCAGACTGGTGGTCCTGGATTCTATAACAAAGCAGGCTGAATGAGCCATGAGGAACAAGCCAGTAAGCAGCAGC